AGAATCCATAGTGCTGACAATAAGTCGAACGGGGAATCCTTGTTTGTGAATCTTAGGGAGGGATTTATGCCCTTCCTATAGTTTTGCCTGCCGCAAACAACATATAAGCAGAGTAATATGCGAGCCAGTTTCTGTTAAGCTCCGAAGAAGCCAACAGGATGATTGACGAAACGTAAGCAAGTTCGACTCAGCAAAAACCGACGCAGGAGGAATCCAGAAGTTTTGTAAATAATATTACAGTAGCCTGTGGAAGTTTCTTTGAAAAAAAATGTCTTGAACACATTATATGCAAATGTTTGGTAATGGACGGTATGTATTTTATTTTCTAGGTATCCACATGAAAAAAACTCCAAGCAGAAAATGTAATGTTAAGGTACGCACCTAAAGTTCGTGCATTGTTAGCGGGAGCTGTATCTTGTAGCAAACATAAATTTAAACAAATTAAATTAATTAAATATTTATTTGCTTTGTTCTTTTAAAATCGTTTGATGTGATTTAATAATTCTGACAGACTCTTCTACTATCCTACTTGAACCTAATAATAATTTAATAAATTTGATTCTGATGCTAAAATAATCTTTTGTTCTTTCTGCATGTCTGTAGCTGATGATTGTAAATAGTATTGATTCTAAGAAAATACCATAATGTTATAATAGACTTCTAAAGGTACATCCGCAAACTAGCGTATTTGTCATTTGCTAACTAACAGGAAGGATGTTTTTTTAAAACGTAAATATTATGCTTATTATTAGAAGGAACCATAGATTTCTGTATATTTTTAGATACTCGTGACAAACTAAATAGTATTATTTACAAATATAAGGGTTTTTTTTTTCAATGTATAGAACTTTAAGTTGCAATAAAACAACGATGGATTATTCGATTGACATGAATTTTTTAAAGTTCTATACATCATTACATTATGAAAGCTTTAGAAACAGCATGTCTATGTTGCAGATTAATTTTAAAGTGCTTACTAAACAAGATTGCTTTCGAAAAGTCGTCAATGGGCGAGGCAAGTTCGTAGCGCGTAGCGCGGAGTAGCTTTTTATTTGGAAAAGAAGCCATTTCGCGGTTTCTTGTCCTAGAGGGCTCCTGCGGACCACCATGGAACTTTCGCAAAATCGATGTAATTATATTGTGTAGATATACAACAAACTTTGATAAATATAAAAAATTTTAGATTTCCAATTATAATATTCCAAGTATCTCGCGCACTCTGTATGATAGCCGAAACCTGAAACTCTCTCTCTCTCTCTCTGTCGGCACAATATTCAAGGCTGTTCAAACCAAATTATCCCACGTTTTATAGTTTTTCATTTGCCGCTAATAATTTATTCACTAAAACGGCAATAACGTACATAATTGAAAAAATTCCGCAAATGGAGAATTTTTCCAAAATAGTAAATGGTTTTCGAGACACTAACTTTTTTCTGAAACCATGCAGTGCGCCGTAATAATCAATGATGTCATCGCGTCTTGACTGAGCCGCAAATTGAACAAGATTGCCTTCGAAAAATCGTCGCTGGGCGGGGCAAGTTCGTAGCGCGTAGCGCGAAGCAGCTTTTTATTTTGAAAAGGTGGCCCTTCGCGGTTGCTTGTCCTAGAGGGACGCATTGTTTTTCTATAGTGCTCCTACGGACCACTATGGAACTTTCCCAAAATCGATGTAATTTTAGTATGCATACACCCATGCATCTTTTAAGTCTCGCCGAACTTCAAAGTGACGGCAAAACTGTGGTAAATTGTACAAATAACAGGTATTTGTAATGTTTTTTTTTTAAATATCTCGCGCACCCTGTATGATATACAAAACCTGAAACTCTTTTGCGACACAATTTACGATACTGTTCAAATCAAATTATCACATCTTTAACAGTTTTTCATTTATCGCCCATAATTTAACCACGAAAACGGAAATTTTAAGGAACTTTTAGATTTTCTGGCAAAAATCGACACACCCTGTATATAATTCAAACAATGTTTGAAATAGGGGTGATAGCACTGGTGTATGATTTTTTCGAATAGAGGAAGTGGTTTTCAAGAAAATACTTATTTTCTGAAACCATGCAGTGCGCCGTAATAATCAATGATGTCATCGCGTCTTGACTTAGCCCCCAAAATAGCGTTTTTGAAATGGATTTTTTCATATATCCCGAGCAGCGTATGTGATAGATGAAAACCGCAAGTACAAAAATATATAACACTGTTTGATCCGATTGAACATATTTTTTACGATTTTTGATTTGCGGTTAATAATTTAATCTGTAAAAGAACAATTTTCTAGGTCTTTTAGATTTTAGTCTATAATTTGAAAACCCTGTATATCATCGAAAAGATGCATGAAATAAATTATATAACCAATTTTCAATAAAAGGGGGATCCATTTTTGAGTTTCTTTGAATTTTCCGCGCACCCTGTATATTTTTGAAACATTGACAGGAATAAAAGTTTATGGAACCGTATCTTCTGCGTCTTCTAGTTCAAGAATTTTTTTGGTCTCTTAAACGGTTTTGGTTTGCACACGCGATTTTTTATTTTTTTAGAATACTTCTAAGGGAATACTACGGAACAAAACTGCATATGTGTGGCAAATATGAAGTCGATTGCTCCAAATTTCCGACACTTCTCCTGTTTCATAGCAATGTACAAAAAACAGTTGAAAATAGCAAAAAAAAGATGGATGCCGGCGTCGGATCAAGGCCATTTCTGACAAGCTTATGTATCTCTTGGAGGGCTAAAAAGGAGGCAAAATTTTAATTTTGAAGCTCCAACGGTTCGAAAGTTATTCAGGAAAAATCAAAAGACGAAAACGGAGAATGGAGAGACGACGGTGGTCATTTCTGTACCAATGGTGGTCCCCTAGGATCTATCATTACCGGGATATAATATTTTTATACGAGTAGATACTTTCGAAAAAATCGACTTCATCGATTTTCAAATTGCTTTCGAAAAATCGTCACTGGGTGGAGCAAATTCGTAGCGTGTAGCGCGAAGCAGCTTTTTATTGGCAAAACCGATGTCATTCTATTGTGCATGCACCTTTTGTAAAGTGACTTTCACGTCTCCCCGAGATTCAAAGTTACGACAAACTTTGATAAATATAAAAATTTATACAAATAATAGCGATTTCCAATGATATTTTTTTCACTCACGCACTCTGAATGATAGACGAAACCTAAAACTCTTTCCACGCAATTTACGATTCTGTATAAACCAAATTATGCCGAAAACGGCAATTTACAGGGTCTTTTTGATTTCTTGACCATAAACGACACACCCAGTACATAATTGAAAAATTACCGGAACTAGAGAGAGTAAAAGGCTTTCGATAAAAAAAAATTTCTGAAACTATGTAGTACGCCGTAATAGTCAATGACGTTATCGCGACTGGACTGAGCGCGAGGAATAGCGATTTTCATATACACATAAATACAAAAATTTACATTTTACATTTTACAAATTTTGATTTACTGCAAATAATATGCTCTGGAAAATAACAATTTTCGGGGACTTTTAGATCTTTGTCTATAATTGAAAAACCCTGTATATAACCGAAGAAGTCGTTGAAATCAAAGATATAGAACCGGATGTTCCGCGTCTCTTAGTTAAAGAATTTTGCTGATCTGGTTAATTTTTTTCTCTAAACCACAATAACCCAAAAAACATTCAAAAATTTCTAAAAAATACTTCGCGACTTTCGATGGCACTCAGTTTCATCATTTTAAATGTAAATGTGGATTTCTACTTCTCTGAAGTGGGTAATTGCAAATTTAAGATACCTATTATGTTTTTTAATGTTGCACGCAATATCGCGAGCACCCTGTACAATACGTAAAAACCTTAAATACAAAAGTTTTAGCTGTCTATATATCCCGTATAGACGTATATCGTCATGTAAGAAAACTAACATCTTAAACACACTCTTTCAGTTTCAGTTTCAATTTTCAATAATAGGGGGGCCCATTTTTCAATTTATTTTTAATTTGCGGCGCACCCTGTACTTTTTCGAAAATTTGTTTATGAATCCAAATCTTCCGCGTTTTCTCCTACAAAAATTTTTGATGTTTTTCATAGACCCTTGCCCTTAATTTTAACAGGTTTGTCACGGAATCAAAGTTCATATGTGTGGTAAATTTGAAGTCGATAGCTTCAAATTTCGGACATTTATCATGTTTCAGTGGAAAATCGAAAAAAAAATATGGACGCTGAGGTTCGACTCCGGCCATTTTTAAATATCTTATGCACACAGCGAACTGTTAAAAAGGAGCAAAATTTGAACCGTGTAGCTCAAATACTTTGGAAGTTATCGTCGAAAAATCGTAGAATAGAGAACAGACAGACAAAAAATTAATACGTTTTTGTTCGACGCCGATTCCACCTGCACCAACGGCGACGCTGTAGGAGGCACTCGTATACTTTCGAAAAGAATCGATTTCATCGATTTTTCGAAAGTAACAAGTATTAATGCGCCCAGTGAATCTTAATACTGAATCAATAAACAGCCCAAAATTTTTTATTTGATCCCTAAATTTCATTTTATCGCACCATATTCATTCGAACCATATTCAATTGGCAGTTGTTTTGCTTTTTGCTTCGGGCAGTGGTTCTTAGAAAATAGTTATTGACAATATGAATATTTTTTGAAAATTGGGATATACCATTTGGTAACGCCTTGTATATCGAAATGGCCGGCCGCAAATCGGTATCGCGACTACCAGTATTTCCGTCATATCTATTTTCTCTTTGGAAATACGTATTTCCAGGCACCACCCGCGACGAATCCGAATTAGCTATACGAGATCCGCATTGAAGCCGTATGATAAGAACGATAACTGAGCCGGTGGGGGTGATATTTGATTCGATATCGGCAAAGAATTAAAATAAATTGGACCGTTCATCAAACAAAATCGGGACGGCTCTGTCGGTATACCATTGTCACCAGCACAATGCTAGGCTATATGTTTTTTCGACACACAATAAGATGATTTATATATTACCGTCTTTGTTCATGCTGGCTTGGAAACACTTGGAGAGCCTGCATGCCCTGCACTGGTTTCTGTGGGTTTTGTCCACCGGACACCGTCCTTTCAGATCGCCGGTCGCCTTGCACGTGTACACCCTGTTACGGTGGATGCTGCGCTTGAAGAACCCGGAACAACCTGTCAAAGAAATAAACAGATTTTTTCATGTTTTCATGTTCTTATATGTTACAGACCACTGACAACTTATACAAAACATGCAATAAGTATTGAAAAAATTACTTATTTTAATGCATTATGACAAGAACAGGTCAGGTGGTAAACGGCATTTGAGCCACGCATTTATTTGGCACTAGCGGAGCTCTGATTGATAAAATTAATAGACGAGCGACTTATAATTCTCATTTCGCATTTAATGGTAAAGTAGGTTTACTATTTACAAATCATCCGGATTCCTCCTGCGTCGGTTAGGCTCTGAAGAAGCCAACCGGTTGATTGGCGAAACGTCAGCAGGTTCGACTCATCAACAATCGACGCAGTAGAGGAGATTTGTAATAGTATACGAGCCCTAACAACTAATTGTTGGGACGATGTACGAAATAATAAGAAAAAATATTTGTACTTATGTTAAATTGAATTTTTTTGCCTTTTCGATTGAAAAATGAAGTCACGCGCACTTATTTTTATACCAAAAAATGCTATCATAATGAATTATTTTTTTATTTCACATAAATTACATAACAAAATATGAAAAACAACCGAATTTGCTGACAAATAAATATTCCGACGCATTTCAATCTTTTACTTTAAATCGAACATTAATAAGAAGTAACATCACTTTTCGCGGCAATAACAGCTTTTATGCGTTTTGGCATGGAATCTACCAAAGTCTTGCAAAATTCGGTGGTGAAAGTGTTCCAAAATTCGGTGATTTTTGCCTTTAATGCTGGAACTGTTGACTGAGGATTGTTAGGCAAAGTCTTTTTCATCCGATGCCATAAAGTTTCAATAATATTCAAGTCGGGGCTACTTGATGGCCACGATAAAACTTTCATATTATGGTCCCCAAACCACTTTTTTGTTGCTTTCGCAGTATGTCTTGTTGAAATATAAAATTTTCATTTCCAAGAGTTCTTTCTATTAATGGAATCAAACTTCTTGATAAAATTTGTTGGTATTTTTCCGAATTTACAGTACCATCAATGAACTCGTAATTGCCAACCCCTTTACCGCTCATACACCCCCATATCATAACACCCTGGGAAAATTTTACCTTGCGCTTTAGACAATCTTTGTGAAAGGATTCTGATTTTGTACTAATCACCCTTTTTCGAAAATCGCCTACACACACATCAAATTTTGATTCGTCGCTGAAGATAACGTTACTCCACGTTTCCGTTGTCCAGGATATTTTAGATTTTGCCCAATCCAAACGTTTTTTCTTCTGAATAGACGTTAATAATAGTTTTTCCTTTGCCTTTAACAAAAGTAGATCATAGAATATTAATAATTTTTATATTGAAACAGGAAACATTGTAAACTTACCTTATAAAAACTCAAACCAGACTTATGCATCCATTGTGTACAACATTCCCTGGAGACATTTAAGTTTGCCTAGTGATTTCATTGGGCTTGAATTTGTCGTAAGACGCTTCGTCTGCTAGTTTTACAAATCTTGAAAAGAATACGACGATCTCTTTCAGTGATCGGCCTGAACTTTTACCACGAACGCTAACACTAGTTGTCTCTCCATACTTTTTATAATATTTCCGACTGTTGATTTTGCAATACTCAAGTCATTTCAAATTTTTTGCATTGATTTACCTCTGAAATATGATAATTTCTCTCACTTTCTTGTTTGTTGCAACACCACATTTTCTTATCAACTATTATACAAACTTCAAAGATACAAACCGAACTGACATCTCATTTATCTAAGCACACTACATTTTACCATCAATGCATGGGTAGCATTGATTTTTTTGGTATGTAATTCATGTTAAATAAAAAATAATTCATTACAATAGTACTTTCTGTGCTATAGTAATGTGCGTAAATTGATTATTCAATCGACAAAGCAAAAAAAAAATTTAAATAGATATAAAAATGTTTTTTTCATCATTTTATATATCGTCCGAACATTTAGTTGTTAGAGCTCGTATTAAGCAACTAGCGCGGTTAACGGCATTTGAGCGGAGGGTATGATTAATAAAGAAGTGACTTCAAAAGTTTACCAAACGTATTGCATACTATAGTTTTCACTGTCATGAATGGATGGAATACAATGGATATTTCAAATTTTTTTGAACAAAAATATATGTAATTGAAATTAAATATTCATCGCTTCATTTTTAAATTTTAGATGTTTATGTAGCAACTTGAATTGACCATACGCACATTTGTTGTAACGATAGAAAGTTACTCTATTTAAATGAGCATAATTTTATATTGAATTTTGCTAGTTTTAAATTAGTTAGGTATACAGTTAAAAATATTCATACAGTTGCTTTAAATCAAGCGTTAAGTCACTCATCTTATCCCAGTTTTATATTGAGAGGGTGATAATTTTACCGTAAAGTAAATTATTGTATAATTTGGTTTAGACCAATCTACCAATGGAATAATTTTTTTCTGGGGATATGGAGGTTGTTAAGGAATACTTTTAAAAATGGGCTTTGTCGGGGGTGTTACTTAACTTACATTAATGATTACGACAAAAGTAAATTTCTGCTATTTTTAAAGACCAGTGAAAACTAACACATTTTATTAAGCCAATAAGCCGAAGCAGAATAGTTCCTTTAAAACTACTTCTAGACGAAGAAAAAAATTCATTCGTATTGTAAATTTTCAGTGTTTGGTTGTCTGCTTCTCCTTATAATAAATCTTACAAAAAAAGAGAATGAAGTTTAACCATTAACAAATGATACAAAATTCTTAAAAACATGTTCAGCTTAACAAGTGCATGAACATGTTGATTGGTGCTACCTAAAATAATGAACTAATATGAACAAAATTATCGCACATATTCCTTCTTAGCGTTAAATACATTAAAAGCAACGACTTCAACACTGTCATGAAATTTTTGGTCTGGATCCGGTTTTGTCCAAATAGAAGGATTCATATACCACAGTACAGCACAGTCATTTTGGTATGTTACATACGAATAATTTTCATCATTATCGATAAGCTCCCGGGCTTATAGCCTGCACGAGAACTTGCTACCAGTCAGAGCAAATTTCTCAAAATCGCGACGTGACCCCCAACTTTCTTAAAAAATTCAGATGTATTTAGGAAAAATCCCTACTCCCGATGACAAACTTAAAAGATATTGGTAGTAAATGTAGCAAATGTTCTAACTACATACTTTTCAATACTTTTATAACGGATTCTGGAAGTCCAACTTTTTAACGAGTCTTCTGTATAATTATAAACTAGGAAAGTAGTACATTTTCAAAATACACAATCTCAGAAGAAGAATTTGCAATTTGGATATAAAAATTTGAAATATTTTAAAGCAAGACTATTTACTTCAATGAAAAGTATATCTTGAGAATATCAATTATTTTTCAAGCATATTGAAATTCTTAATTTAAACTGATCTTCTTAATTTAAAAATACTTATATTTAAATCGAGTAGAAAATATTGATAATATTGGTAATCTAGAATTAAGAATTTGTTTTTTTCTGTGTGTAAGCATGCTCCCATTTGATATTCGAAAAAACATCTCTCTAAGGACATTACCGATTTTTTGGAAACCAATCTTATACCAGGTTAGATAGATATTAGATAGATTCAGAAGACATTTTCGCATCACTACAGTACTAATTGGCATGGTAAATGATATAAAGTACGTACAATGACAATACTTAATTTTATTATTCGCAATTGATTATTCGCAAAATTGAAACAATTTGGATTATCAAATAGTTCTTGAAGCCTGTGAAAGGTATTCTAACAGGTGGACACGACAATTTCAATTTATTTGCAGCCAAACTAACCAAAACTAATCTGAGAAAATATTGAACAAAACATTTACATTCAGATTGAAAATACTGTTATTCTAGCTATAAATACAATAAATTTAAGTTTTTCTACTCCCGTCTGTAAAATACCTAATTACCCACCGATCTAGCGTGCGGGAAGCGTCACTTTACCACGTCAGTTTCCTTTCCCACGAATCCGAGCCACTTCGGACATTTCCAGGATTTTACAGCACGTATTTGGGAGCAATCGGATGTTTTCGCAGATATTTCCCACGCTTTGAATTTTAACGTTTGTCAATTCTGACGGTCAAGTCAGTGAATGTATTCTTGCTGTTTTGCGAAAATGTATCCAAAATCTAACGGTCGTAGAACTATTCCACAATTCCCTTTCGCTTTATTTTCACATTAAGAAAAAACTCATAGCTATATATATATACTTATATACTCCATAAGAACATCTACATTTTTTAAATCCAACACAAAAATATTTTCTCTGTAACGCCGTTCTCTTACTTTTTGATTAAATAATTTCTATATTTTAAAATGAGCAATCATTCGGCGAAACGAGCGGTCTATCTTTTCCCACATTCCCAGACACCAAGAAATAACTTAATTTACATAGCATCTCGTTGCCGAATGTCAGCATTTCAGCGATTATTTACATATGTGCCAATAAAGATAAAAAATTACACTGGATTAATAAAATATAAAGTGCTTACAAAACAAAATCAGTTTTCACAATAATCAAATTAAATTCTAACTAAAATATATTTTTTCCCAACTGTTGGAATATACTTGTGATGAGACGATTTTTTCTTGTTGAACAAATAAATTGAATTATTATTATTATTATTATTATTATTATTATTATTATCATAATTGTCTCTTCGAGAAATGTATTACTAAAATTGCCGATGTCGAAAATTATTTTCACCCTATAGAAGTCATTGCAGAAAAAAGCCGCAAAATTTTATCCACAGAATAAACTCCAGCGAGAAAAGCGTATATATACCATAATTCCTAAAATTACGGTTCTACATTTTTTTTTGCGCTACTATAATTGGTCGCAGTTTTCACAGGACTAGAAATTTTAAATACTTTTTAAGATCATTTTTAGATTAATCACTGTTGGATTACACCTATTCACCCCGTATATTTTATTGCATTTTTGGATTTAGTGGTAAAAATAAAGGTAACTTTCATTAAACAAATATGATTTCCGCACGGTTTATTTAATTAATTTATTATAAATTAATTTAATTTAATATTTAATGTTGTGTGAATTGCTATTGAAAAATCAGAATTTTCGTGATTTCGAGTAAAGAATTATACCGGGTGCCTTTTTTACTGTATCAGTTTTGTACCTTGAATAGGACGCTCAAATCATCTATACCTATATTATTTCTTTTTTTCTCATTTTTGTGTATCTTTTAGTTTATATTTTATATATTATATAATAATAACAAACTTAGTATTGCATTCTTAAAAAAAAACTAAATTAAAGTCAAAAGAAAGAGTAATATTGGAAAAGGCAAAATAAATCGCAGAGTATTAAGTATACGACGTACTTAATAAAAGTTGCAGATCTTTTTAAGATCTGTCCGAAAAAGAATGTATATGGTGTGCCATTTACGAAATCGACACTTTTCAATTTAAAATTCTCGAAATATAGTCGTTGCATCTAATTGAAATTCTGTTGCATATATCTTTTAAGTCATCTTGGAATGGTGCTAATATAAAATACGACTGATTTACCTTTAAAAGTAATAGCGCTATGGTCATTTTTTTTCAACTAGCATTTTTTTTGAAAAATTGAAATATTGGACAAACTATTAGATTAAGGTAAATATTATTATTAATAAAAAAGTTAAAGAATTTTAAATGAAATTGAAAACAAAATGTAAAAATACCCTGTATAACTTTTGATATAATACTATTATAATTTAAATATTTGTATATTTATTTCTACTTTTTAAAGTTCGCTACAATTTTTTTTTATTTTTTCGACGGCATAAAGTCGCAACAGAAGCAGTAATACTACTTACCATCGCAGCTGTAAATTCCATAGTGTTTTCCGGAACTTCGGTCTCCGCACACTTTGCATGGGATGTCCAGCAGTCTATCTCCTAAAATAGAATGACCATGACTATGACTATATTATATAATATATGAATATTAAATGGATCGTGGCGTCCACGGTTTAAGTTGTCAAATTCTCTTTTGTTTAACGACGTTACAAGATATAAAAAAGGAAATATTATTCTCGCAGTTGGTGTGTACCTGATGAGATGTAGACCAAATTGGGACAAGCTTAAAAAGAGCTTGAGTTTGTTCCAAACCCTCGATAATACTACTTTGTACAACTTTGTAGTTAATGAATATTTTGGGTTGAAATTTAATTCTGGATCTAGTAGTGGAAACAAATAATAATAATAATTAAACCAAAGACTAAGAAAATTTTCAATATAATATACTGTTGTTAGGGGTTAGGCATATACTTTTTTTGTCGCATTTCTTTTTGAGTTTTTGAATTTAACTCGAATTTCCCCTTCTCGTACTTCTAATGCAATATCAATATCAAATTGTTCCAAAATTGTAATTTTTAATCCTATTGGTCCAATAGAAACATTTAATTGATTTTAAATTGTTTGAATATTTGACAAGAAGTTTTAAGACCGTTTTGATAGCACACTTAATGCTTAAAAGTAGTGACCGGACAAAGCTTCATAAAGTTCAACCTCAAAATGTTAGTGACACACATTGATGTGAAATAATAAAACCTTTTAAAGAAAAATTCGTCGTCACAACGAAAGTAACCTTAAAATTATTTTGCTGTCATATTTGCCATTTTTAATATTTTTGTCGCAAAACGAATGCCATTTTCCTGCGTTTATTTTTATGGGTATTTTTGCTAATTTTGCTGGCTGGCAAGATTTTGTTTTAATTAAAAAGTTTTTTTTTAATGAAAAATACGTCCAGATACCTTGTTCTAAAAGTATTTTTGAGACTTTTAGAGTAACGTAATTTTGGAATGAGAATTTCTTGATTTTCATAAAATAATTAATCGTGGTATTTACATTTGTATTGGAACTGGTACAAAAAATCTGATATTAATAACTTATCAGCTTCAAAACCTTTTTTTCTCGAGTCATATTGTTTTGGTTATTGATTGTTATTGAGACTCGCCTAGTAGGTATTATTAAAATTTGCTAACTTGCTTACTTTATAAGAATCCAGAAAAAAATAAAGGCTTTAGATGTCCTTTTAAAAATTCGTTGTACAAGGTACTTAAAAATTTAAAAAAAAAGTTTCGGAAAATACCTTTATCAGAAAAAACGGCTCTGTCAAAGTTGTGCCAAAAAATGTTGTTTTTATTCATTTTAAATTAATACCAAAAATTTAGACCGCACATACCTTTTATTAGGTCATAAAATTTACGGCTAAAAAAATTTAAGTTCAACACAATTGACTGTATTCGGACTCCATAGTTATTTCTGAGACGGCCCTTATTCCCCGACATAGTTTTGCTTAGCTCTCGCGTTTAAAAAATACTTGATATAATTTATTAATTTCATCAGCATTCGTTGCTCAATCCTCACATAATTCCAAGATCAGTTATTTTTTTGACTTCCAGAGTACTTTTCTCATGACAAACTGAATATCATATTCAAAAAAATTAAAAATATCCCCAAAAACACGTTTTGGAGACGCTTCTGTACAAAATATTAAAATGTTGACACCAGCATTTTAAACTCTTTCAGAAATAATTAAAAAAAAACATTTTTGGTAGTTATTTTATAGTAAAAAAGTCTATGTTTAACCAGCATACTAGCTAAACGCTTTTTTAAACACCCCCTCTGAGGGTCAAGATATAATCTACAAAAGGTTCTATTTTCATCACAGTGCGCTATACTTAGCCGGGAATGACATCATTCATTATCTCATAGTCTACACTTGGGGTAGGACTTACCCGTGCCCATTCTTCGGCCTGGCGACGGCCTGATTTTACCCCAAATCGACGAATCAATTTTGGCGTTTTCCAAAGTACTCGCGCACAAAATCAACACGGAAGCAAATCAATCCCGTACATTTCGATAACCGATCGGCAAATTGTTAATTCTTCTACTCCCGAAAACGACCGTTAAATGAACTCTAACCGAGTGCCAGTATGCGGGGGTGGCAGGACGCCGCTCGTCAGCAGGATACACGGCAAACCGACTGGCAGGACGTGGAAGAGGTTTCCGCTTCCTGGCTCCGGAAAAACCGACGACGAGAGTGGGAGAGGGTGACCGGTCGTAGCAGGATGACGATGTTCAGCAGGTCCGCATGCCATTTTGTCACCACTCCCAGTCAGCGTTCAAATGTCAACCTCCTCCCCACCACCACCACCGCGAGCGGGCAGGACTGCCGTCGACGGGTGGCCTCGGGGGAAGGGGACACCCGGGGGGTGGATTTGTTGTTTCGACGCTCCTTATCGGATGTTGGGTTTCTCATATTAATTATTAGGTGACGTCTGATGGTTTTTTTTTTTAAATAGCCGAGGTCCTGATCGATTTGTTAGGATAGGTGATAGTCCAGCGTGACTAATCGCTACCAAGCCTTATGGCGGTTGAGCAATAATAATTAGAATAGCAAAAAGACAAATAAATAGTGCTTCAATAAATATGGGTCTTCTTTCTTGTACGACAACATTGTATTGTATGTTGTTGCTCTGACGTTTGCAGTGAACTTTAGTTCATACAAACAGCAATGTAAGCCTGAATACTATATGAATGATATTCGGCTACTTCGTTTTACTTCTTGGGAGAGGTGAGATTCAGAGCTCGCGTGTCTCGTCTTCTCCAAAAAAGTTACACCAAACTTAAGAACTTTCATTAATAGTGTAGTAAAATACTGCTATTCTATTCTTCTTCTATTCTACACTTTTAAAGGGTTAATGGGAAAATGGGAAATCCTATTTTATAATATTTATCAAAAATTTTTGCATTCATTTTGTGATTTTCCACTGGACTTTCCATGTTCGTATTTGTCACTGCTCTTGGTGCGAGTTTCTCTTTTTTCTGTCCTTATCTGGATACAATTTTTTGTTTTACATTTAGGTTTAAGGTATATTACTTCGCAAGGAGGTAATTTTCTTTAGGGAGTAAAATTATTGATTTAACCAAACTAACCAAACCATCACACATAAATCCATGTTCAATCGTTTTCCCAGTAAACATATCTTGTACAAGGGTGCGCCGAATCCTGTGTGATACCTACGTAGCTTTAAAAAAAGAAATAAGTCTTCTTGTCTAACTAACAGGTGGACAGAATTAAAACCAAATTTCGATAGTGTTTAAGGAATGTAAATTTTAATATTCAAAAGTCTATATAAATATTATAAAATTTGTAAATTCCAAGGATATAAAACAGACGGTAAAGTTTTTCTTTCTGGGTTTTTTAATTTAGTAAATTTGAATAAATTTCCAATTATAAGTTCACTACGTTAGTCTTATGTTTATTATGGAGCACTTCCTATCCTCATTTCTTACGTGTTGCCTGACAAAAATTCATGTTGAGACCTCGGTAATTACAAGTCCTTTTTATTCTAAAAAAAAAGAAGTTGTGACGTTTTTTCTAATTTTTTTAAAGGATGTAGGGAGAAGCGAAATTGCGACAACCTGTATGTGGAGTTTTATTCAAAATTCGTTTCATAATATTTTAATGATAACGACTTTCAGTATATTGTTATTTGAAGGTAAGGTTTTTAGTTAGTTGTTATGATGTATGTTATTATGTATTTTACAGAAGGGAGTAGAAAAATAGTAGCCTCTGGAAGTTTCTTTAAAAAAATAGGTACAGCAGGTTCTTTTTTTAAATCAATTACCGTTTGATGTTTTTAATTTGCTTATTGTTTTGCACAAAATAATGAAATTTGCAAAACGTACCCCCTTCAAACCGAAATAAATCCAACGCGCTGCCTGAAATGCCGCCAATGTCGGCAGCAACCCCCTCGAAAATCAATTAAAGATTCAATTAACTTATCTTTACCTTGCTGCCCGTGTCCACCCCCCTCTCCGTCCGACAAGATGTCTCTCCCACCCTTCGCGTCATCCGGGCACATTCTGTCGCCGTCGACCGAAACGTCGTCGAAAGCTAGCTGACTGGGACGCGGAGTCGTTGCAGACGAGCGTGCTGATTGGCCAGGGAACGGGGGTTGGCCACGCCTCAGGCCTTTCCTCACCCCGCGGTCGTTACGCCCACGTGCCGTTTTCCCACACTTTAACAAGTACGGGTCACTTGGCAGAGTCGCTGTTAACGCTCGCTACATACGCGTCACGGTTGTTTGGTGTCAGGGGGTGGGGGGCGCCAGGGCTTTCCAGGAGATTACGCGTGATAAACCGGAGCCGAACGGACGTTCGATATAATATTGATATTCCGGACAACGGGTTTCGTTTTTTTTTATTGCAATGTCCGGCTCTAATTTTTTAGGTACCGCCTTTGCCGAACTCAAAAACTCCTTAAAATATACGGGGCGAATCGGGTTTTAGGGGACAAACTGAAAGGGGTGATAAATCTCATCATTCTAAACAAAAAAGTTTATAAAGGGTACACGGAAAAAAAAGAAATTTGAACATAAGTAAGCTTTGGAAATATGTACTCAATACTATGTCGGCTTAAATTTAAAATGCGAAATGCTCGATATCTTAACTTTCTTTTAACAAAATGAAGTGGTTCGTTTGAGTATTTCAAAATGTTTAAACAACAATTTATTTTAGATATTTATTTAGCGACTTGGGCTGAGCATACGCCGTCGTTTTTCTTAAAATGGGCTTAATATATATATATATATATATATATATATATATATATATATATATATATATATATATATATATATATATATATATATATATATATATATATATATATATATATATATATATATATATATATATATATATATATATATATATATATATATATATATATATATATATATATATATATATATATATATATATATATATATATATATATCCTCACGTATTGATTCACGGATGGAGAAATGTGATGACACTATATTCCGGGATATCATCCGTTCGCTCGTTGAACTCCGACTGGAATCCTGCATCCGACTGGAATCCTGCAAATCTTGCATCCGACTGGAATCCTGCAGACGTTTCGCCAAAATCTCACTTGGCATCTTCAATGCTCGCGCTCCGAAAACACTTCGAACACTCGCTCGGAATATAGTGTCATCATATATATATATATATATATATATATATATATATATATATATATATATATATATATATATATATATATATATATATATATATTGAGAGGGTGGTAATTTTACCGTAAAAATGGAGACATTTTTGAAGTAAATTTTTGTATAATTTTGTTTAGACCATTCTACCACTGCATAAGTTTTATTTTGGAAGATAGGAAAATACATTCAAAAAATATAAATAGCTGTTATTTATTGACCAATGACTTTTAATAATTTTTTATAAATAATGGTAGTTAGGAAATACTTTTAAAAATGTTTTTTTTTGCTAATGAGTCATTAACAGTTATGAGAAAATGAATTTCTATCACTGTGATAAATACCACCTTCTTCTTTGAGTCTCGAAAATGGAAGGAGTAGAATGGTCTACTACCACTGCATAAATTTTATTTTGGGAGTTAGGAAAATACATTCAAAAAATATAAATAGCTGTTATTTATTGACCAATGACTTTTAATATTTTTTTATAAATAAAGGTAGTTAAGAAATACTTTTAAAAATGTTTTCTTTGCTAATGATTCACTAACAGTTATGAGAAAATGAATTCCTATCAATGTGATAAATACCACCTTCTTCTTTGAATATCGAAAATGGAGGGAGGGAATTTTTCGTGTTTTAAATTTTCTGTTAGTGTTTGGTTGTCTGCTTTTGTTCATAGTAAATCTTACAAAAAAGAAGTTTTACCGTTACAAAATTCTTTGAAAAAGTTCGTATGACCAATCGTCAGACTTGGTGCAGCCACGATATCAACTCAAACCAAACAGTACTGTACGATTATATACCATAATGGAAAGTATATTTTAGGAGCTTTTTCAAATTGAGGATATCAAACTTCTTACATCAAGGATATCATAATTTTGAGACAATAATTTCATATTTTCTAAGATTGAGAAAAAGGCACAACCATGTTCGCAATTCGAAAGTATATTATGTTTTGTCGTTTTCATTTGAATATTAGGTCGTTCAAAACAGAAAGTAGTCCATTTTCAAAATCAAAATGAAATTACATATAATCATTTTAAGGAACTTTTCCAAATAAAGAGATGGTACAATCTCAGAAGAAGAATGTTGCAAATATTAGAAATAAAAATTTGAAACATTTTAAAACATGACTATTTACTTCAATGAAAAATATATCTTGCAAATATCATATTCATTTTTCATGAATTTTGAAATTCTTAATTTAGAGAATTTGTTTTTTTCTGTGTGTTCTAGTAAAGGCAACTAGGCGTGATATTAAGGAAAAGGATGGACCTAGAAATTGTTTAGTAAATCAACCAAGTCAAAATGATAAAAAATATTTTCGAATTTCCTAACTGGCCACCAGCTGGAGTAATTATTATCTTGAAATTTCTACAAACAAATCTAATTTTCGTCATAGCAATCAAAGTGGTATTCGAACGTCTTAAATAAATTTCCACATCTCCAAAAAGGATCAAAACATTTCAATAAACTCGGGGTGGTTAGAAAGGGCTTTCCTTGGCTATCAATCACCATGTAGAGTTTTCTGACATAATTGCAAAAGAAATAATTTTCTGAATAAATGAAAAGATATAAGTTTTGAATTTGAATTTGAATACAACAACCTAACGCTAAATATTAGTCCATATAATAATTAGTTTTAATTAATTAACCGAAAGTAGTCAATGGTTAAAAATTAACCACTGCAATTACGATAATTTTAAATAAGACAATTGTAATGCA